CGGGGGCAGCCTCGGGGGAGCGGCCACTCCAGCGATGACTTGAGCGCGTATGCCAGCATCACCTTCCAGAAGTGAGAGGAGGTGTTGGAGCCGGGCGCCCGCCGGGGAAGGTGAGCGGGGGCGGAGCAGGGCGGGGGTTCAAGGATCTGATCGGCCGCGGGCGCCTCTTCGAGGGTGGGCGGCCGAGGTGGTGGCCGCCCCGCGGTTCTTGCTTCCCGTGGGGACCGCTGGCTGCCAGAGCTGCGTCCTTCCCCCGGGGGCCTTCGGAAGGTGCCTGGTGGCCGTGACACGTGTGGTTGGTTTCCTTGTACGTTTTGGCTTTAATATCCACAGCTATGAAAAAGATCTGGGGTCCCAGCTATCCCTGCGGGGGTCCCATCTGCTGGCCCTGGCGGGAAGACGCGGTTGCTTTCAGAGCATGCTTGGATGCTTCTGTTCAAACGGGGTTACTATCCTGTGCTTCCTGTGTCACCGCGTTGCTTGTCAGACTTAGGTGTGCTGCCAAAGTGTGCGGCGGGGGGAAAAAGTGAGCTAACTATTGCATAGCACTGGAAACAGGCAACTCCCGGTGTAATCCTAGTTTGGTCACTGATCACTCTGGTGGCTAAGGGTGCAGCAGGCAGCCATGCCAGTGCTTACCTTCCCATGTGCAAAACACAGCTAACAGCATCTGCCTCACAGGGCTGTGGTGAGTGCTACTTCAGTTTCGTTTGAAAGATCCTTTGAATTTGAAAACTGCCTTCAGAGCACTAGATAACGTCAGTTGTGTTTCAGCTGGTGCCAAGCGTGGCTGTCCCATGCTCACCACAGTGCTACAAACCGCATGAGAAATGTGCCATATGAGCTGTGTCTTTGACGTTGACTGATGTGTTCTATTTTTTCCTTGAAGCTTTTCATTTGGAAAAAACTTTGGCCAGGCGGTTGCACACATGGGTTACAGGCGTGTAAGATGAGTAGGAGCATTGCTGCAAACAATGTGATGTTTCTGCTGGGAGGGAACTTCAGGCAGCATGTAGCAATTGTACCTTGTTTAGAGGTCAGGAAGTACAGTGCACCTGTGTGAGTCTTTTCGTGAAAGGTGAAGGCTGCTTTGGTGCACACAGACACTGGCAGATAGCTACCCACTTAATCTTGTTGCAACACTTGATTTTAGCAGTCTTCTATACACTTGAGCAACAGCAATCGGAGTATTTAATTATTATGAATATGTGCAATAACATTAGGAGGTAAATCTCATACTACTGTTTGTGTGGCAAGTGTGATAAACTTACTGTTTGTATTGCTTCGCTTGGCTCAAGGGAACGCTGAGGGTTGGTCTTGGTACAATACCTGAGATCACATGTTCACCATTTTTGTTTTACATCCATATAACTTGAAGAAAAGCAAAGCAGTGTCTTTATATTTGCTACTTAGCACTTGCTGCTGTTGCCTATTAGAACATTGTGATATTAAGCTTTAACTCTTCTGTGACCTATGAATACCAGGTTACTTTGGAAGTTTGAAGTAAGGTTTAAGATCAAGGCAGATGTTGCAGGTCTGGTTCAAATGGTAACTGGTAAGAGATGATGATTTTCATGGCTATCTGACAGGAGCATGCTTTGAGGCCAAACTTAGACTACCACACCCTTTCTCTCTTCTGGGATGTGCTTGCAAGAGCTTGTCTATGCTGTCTTTGAGGTGCCGCTCAATGCCCTGGGAATCCGCCTTGGATGGCGTTGGTGTTGTGAACTCTTCACAAGGAGATTTTTTTTTCCAGAGGATGTTATCCTATAAGTCATGTTGTTAGGAGCATCACTTTTTTCCCTACTTTATCTGCTAAGATTGAGGGAGCAAGTATGAGAGAAGATCCTCATGCATGTGGATAAATAATAAAGGTGTGCAAGAGTATGAGAATGCAGGTCTGAGGGGGAGCAGTATCATAACTCCTTACTTACAGAAGATTTTTCCAAATGCACTGTTTGCTTTTGTTGTAGACAACTTATTTAATTGATCTTGTGTGTCATCTTTAATATAAAAGCTGTGACCATGTTCTCCCATCATGGTGGCAGGTAGATACCTGCTGTGATTATGTTGTTCAGTGGAGAACCAGGACATGGAAGATCAGATATAAGAACATGCTGAGAAATATTATACAGATACTTTCCAGGGCAGCATTGTAAAAGGTAGTGAGACCAATAGTGTAATTGCTGTTTGAAGTCAGTTCTTATTTCCCAAAATTAGGAATGGACTGAGCCAAA